TCCTCAAAGAAAAGGGGATTGCGGGGGGGCTGCGCCCCCCGCCACTCCCTCCAGGGCCGGATCCCTCGTGGTGTCCCGAGGGCTACATGTGGTCTCAGGCACATCCTCAAGAAAGAAAGCTGGAGCCCAGGATGCCTATGGGCCCTATCTGTCCTTTTGGCAGGGCACCTTCTGGGAAGGACCTGGGCTGGGTTTCCTGCCCCGTGGGCAGCCCCGTGGGGCTGGTATGAGGGCAGCCACCATCTGCAGAGTGGCTAGCACTGAACGGGCCACCCGCCCTGGATTACGAATTTTATTTTGGGGGCTACTGGGGGTTAAGGAAGCTTCGGTGCGGTCTGACTGTAAGTGGGGTTGGGGAGGCTAATTTGGATGATGCATCAGGCTAATGGTGCCTGTGGTATGACTCTGTCCCCTGGGAGCTCCGACACTGCCCATCTCTTCAAGGTGGTCTTGGTATCCACGGACATGGGTCTGAGTCTGTGCCTGGGGCAGAAATGCTGCTCAGCCCTGCCTGCTCCTGTTCACCCCCTGCCTGGGGCATCTCTCACTCCAAGGAGCTTCTTGGCCATTGGGATCCTGACCCCTCAGTCTCTTCCCTTGCACCGCCAGCCACATGTGGGGCCCATGGGGAAGGGAGAACAGGGGACAGGGAGCACAGCCTCCCTCCCTGGGAGCTGTGCTCTAAGGACAGTGCTGTGTCGCCTTGGGAACTGCTCCCAAGAAACCCCCCACCCTGACGGGACAGGGCTGGACCTGGAGCTGGGTGATCACCCACTCTCAGCTCCAACATCTGGGTCTGGGGATGGGCCTGGAAACATCACGTGGACACCCAATAATCCCCAATGAGCCCCAAGACTACCCAGAACCTGCAAATGGGGCAGGGGAGGTGAATAGCCTTGGGGGCTTAGCCCAGCCTGGAGGCTGGGGTGTCCTGTTTGTCCCCATCCCATCCCTCCTGTTCTCCCTCATGTCAGAGGGGCACTTCTCCACCTCTGGGACCCACTGGGCATTTCTGCCTTGCAGCGGCACCAGCCACAGCAGGGCAGGGCCCCCGTGCTCCCCGAGCACCGGGGGCTCTGCGGGCAGGCAGATGCATGCGGTCTCTCACCATGGCACAAGCAGGGAGTGGGCTCATCCTGCTCCAGGGAGGAGCGGGTGGCAGGTGACATGTGGCCTTGCAAAAGGACGTTTCCCACACACTGGGCTCCAGAATTGACTTCTCCATCGCCAGCTTAGTCCCCTTTCTGTGCCGAGGAGGGGTCCGGATACAATCGCCGCATCCTACCCCAAGGGCCCTGAGCCCTGTGCCCTGCCCTCCGGGGCTCACATCGGGCATCTGGGGGCGAGGTCAGCCCGAGCATCCGTGACCTGTCGGCTTGCGGGTCACCGAACATCATGTTTTCTGGACTGGATGCCTGGGGTCTTGGCTTTGCTGGTGAGACGCTGCCGGCTGCGGGGGCTGCTCTAGGTGCTCGGGATGCCGGTCACACCCTGGCGTCCCCCAGTGGCCCTCCAGCCATGCCGACAGCGGCTGCTGGCTGCTCCCTACCCAGCCTGTTCCCGGTCCGAGTCTGATGGTGCAGGCTGCTGACCCCGTCCGATGGTCCCAGGAGGGTCAGGGCAGGGAGGGAGCTGGGCAAAAGCTTCCCCTCAAAACAGGATCCCTACCTGGCCGCTGCCTGCGTCGGTCGGCCCAGGGCTGAGGGGCTGGTCCCACCTCCGCGGGGGCTCGCTCGGCTGCAGCAGGGCGGCACCCGTGTCCTCCCAGCCGAGTGGTGGGGCTGCCCAGCTGCTGGCCGGGCTCACGCCACCCAGCTGTGCCCACAGCCCTCCGTCAGGCTGTCGAGAAACGGAGGCTCATTACATGGGTGGGGAATAAGGAGCAGGGCAGTCTTGTACCCCTGGCCGTGGCCAAACCCCAGGAGGTGAGGGGTTGTGGGGGTTGCATTCGGCGCCTGGGGCTGCCTGCGCTGGGCTCTGCTGTCACACCCAGAGGGGGAACAGTGCTGGCAGATATTTTGTCTGCAGCTCTTTAACCTCCTAACACTTAACTGAAAGGAGGGGGGCAAAGAAAAAGAAACCAGGCCGAGAACATTTTTTTTGATGACGTTCCTGATGCAATAAGTCCCTCTGAAATTTGATTTGCAACCATGGCCAGCAAGGTGTTGGAAGCAGAGTGTGCTTCAATAATTCGTTGCTCTTTAAAGCCTCTAAGCCCGCTGGCCACAGCCAGGGGAGCCCATGACACCTTTGCATTAAGAAGGATGCTGGAGATTTACATACATAGACTAGTCCCCTCCTCCCCCCATCCAGGCCTGGCTTATTTATCTTCATTCCTCGCTCTGGGGCACAACCAGGTTTATGTTCTTCAAGTGCTGCTTTTTGAAACCACCACAGTGATCTGGCACTTTGATGACGGGGGGGGGGTTCAAACCAGCATTAGCCATGCAGGCTTCTGCCATGCAAGCAGGGCGGCTGGCACTGCCCTCCTGGCCCCACTGCCCTGCCCCGCGGGCAGGTGAGCAGCAAAGGCAGCCATGCCTCGCGGAGCTGCAGGTCCTACCAGTGCTCCGGGGAAGCTCTGTAGAGTGGGGCTTACTGGGCACACCGGCACATCCTTGAGATGCGTGGATATAAGGGGTTAAGCATCAGTTATTACTGGTGACCTTCAGACTGTGGGATGGCGGTGATGCTTGGCTGGAGGCTGGGGAGCTGTGTCCAGGTGGGATATGAGCTGCGGCTCCTCGGCATGCCCAGCTGCCTGGGCACCGAGTGAAAACAGCTACCTGTGGGCAGCTACGTTCCCTGCTGCCCAAGAGCCCAAGAGTCCACTCCACCACAGCATCTGCCGGGTCTGGGTGGGCAGCGGGGGCGTGCTGGGGTCCCACAGCAAATGGGGATCACAGCAGAGGGTGCCAAGGCTGCGGTGTGGGCACACCACCTCCTCCCCATGCTGCCATGGTCCAGAGTGGGGGCTGGGGGGTCCTGGGGCAGCGCTGCAGCTGGGGGAGCTGGACCCCATCAGCACCAGTGTCCCCGCAGGAGGTGTGGTGGTCTGTCCCTGGGGCCTTGATAAATTTAACCCCCCCAGCCCTCTCCTGGCAATGTGACTTGAGGTGGCAGCTGAACCATCTGGACCTGTTTGATAAGGTCTACCGGGCAATAGGGCACATAAAAAGAGGGTGTCCCCTGTCTTCCTGCACTCTCCCTACATGGAGCAAGTCATAACCCCTCTGCTGCACCCACCTGCAGGTAGTGGTAGGCCAAGTCTTGATGGCAGGACTTGGATTTCAGCAAGGCTTTGTCGATTGTGGCGGAGGCCTTCTGGCACACTTCCCGGGCATGGCTGAGTGTCAGTGTGGACCAGGAGCCCCTCTTAATGTAGTTGGAGTCATTGTTGATGGGGATATTGGTGCAAGGGGTGACCTTGAGGTCATTATTGCTCTTGGAGGATTTCAGCATGTGCTCGCTGATGGTATTGTAAGCGTGCATGAAATACTTCGGCTGGCTGTGGTCCGGCTGCCGGCCCAGTGTCATGAGGCCCATTGGGTTGCGGTAGCTGCAGGTATCGCTGTCTAAGTTGTCATCTGAGCTCCACCAGCCTGATATGTTGGATCTGGTCCTGCGCTTGGGCTCGGAGGTCTTCGCTCGGTCTTTGCTCTTGCTCCTCCGGTTTTGCTTGGGGTCATCTGCCCCCTTCTTGCCATTCACGTTGCCTTTGGTGGGGCCCTCCAGAGACTGGGACTTGGCGAATAGCTTCTGGACAGAGTGGACAAGGTGCCGGATGCGCCCAGGGCTCTCGCTCCGGTGTTTCGCATCGCTCCTCTGAAACTGCAGGGTGCTGAAGCCGTCTCTGTGGATGGGCAGCTGCTTCTCAAACTGGTCAAGAAGGTTTGCAGGCAGGCGGTTGATTTTAGTGGCTTGGGCATGGCTTGGAAAAGGGTTGTCATCTGGGACCTCAAAGTGGGAGTTGTAATGGATGCGAGGGAAAGTGCTGCTGTTGGAGATCTGGTTGTTGAGTGGAAGGAGACAGTCGCCATGGAGGGTATTCTGGGCTGGGAATCGGGGGTCCATGGTGAAGGAGTCAGTGGGGCTGAGGAGATAAGGGTTCCTGTCCTGGGGGGCATAAAGAGAGTCTTGAGGGGAGTCCAGGTTATCGGAGAGGTGGCGGCTTCTGTTATCTCCTAAGCCCTTCATGATCCCAGTGTTTCCTAGAGCATTGCTCAGGGGTGGTGCGGCAGAGCCCTTGCAGGAGCACCAACCCTGCTCCCCCGCAGAATTCCCTGCACCTGGAGGAAGAGGAGAGATGCTCAGAGCCTGCCGAGAACCTCTTTGGCAGCCCACTCCTCACCGGGGCATCCTTGCGAGGGCTGTGCCAGCTCTAAAAGCAAATTCCCCCAAGATTAAGGGACGAAAGAGAGAAGCAGGATGGGAGAGAGATGACATGGCAGGAGGGGAGGAGCAGGGGCGTGAGACCAGGGGCTGGAGAGAACAGAGTACAGGAGAGGAGGAGGGGAAGGATTCATTCTTTCTAGCTGCAGTTCAAGTGCTTGTGGGTCCCAGTGCTCAACCACAGGCTGCTTAAATAATGCAGCTGCATTATTTTTCTGGTCTCTGCATATGTTTATTTAATAGAGTCCCTTCCCCAGCCAGTGTAACAAAGGCTAGCAGGGGCACTGCCAGCAAATCACTGCTCCTGTCCCATTTGTTCAGGGGGCTGGAGAAAAACCTGCTGTCAAACACTGCACACGGGCCTTGCCTGAGCCAAGGGAAGTCTGGAGCCAAGCATCCCATCTTCTGCATTATGCTTTGTGTTTCTGTGGTTACTGGATCTTGGAAGGGGGCTGGCAGCCCTGCTCTGTGTGTTGCGTGCAGCTGCGCTAATGCGGTATGATGTCAAACATCTCTTCTCCAACAAGCACCCCAGTTTATGGCATGTTTTACCCCAGAGGAAATTGTTTCAGTAGCTATGATGAGAGCAGAGGTGCTTCTGAACACTCAGAGCCTGACCTGAGAATCTGTTTGCTGCTCAGTTGATCTTTCCCACCTTGCTGCATTGCTCCTGAGGGAGCTGTGTCACCCTGTGAGCCTGGCTGGCTGTCCCTCGCTATGGCCCTCCTCTGCCACAGCAAGCGGCTGAGGTTGGCCATCTGTGGCCCCCTCAGCAGGTACAGGCATCCCTGCGGGGTGGGGGAGGGGGGCA